AAAAGTAATGCTCCTTTGCCATGTAGACACCAAAAAGAAGGATATTTGATCATTTATAGGTGAAATCTTCAAAGATCTGCAAACCCAGCCTTGATTCTTGACCCTATCTCTTCTTGTTTTATCACACACATTTCTTAAGAATCCCTTTCAATTTTTGTCTTTCTACAGACATACCCAACTTTCACCTTCATATGACAAAGTGAGCAGAAGCATGTCCTTATTACATAACCATTTTCACTTATTTTGATAGACACTTATGCCTCACAAAACGCAACTACTATCCATTCTCTTTTTAATATTGCTTAGAATGCCTCCATCCATTTCCCCATCTTTGCTAAGCATTCTGTCAAATTACACAAATTCAACTATTTACTCAACTTATTAGCTATTTATGATCACTTTCAGCCATTCATAGCATTTTCCCTCAAACATTAATTTTCAGTTCTGTGGTCCTTGTTGCATTGTACAATAGCTCAGAATTGCTGCAAATCATTTGGTTTCTCAGCCAACATCATGGGATCATATGTATATAAAAGGAAGCATATATTCACAGCCCCAACCAACTCACCTCTAACGTCACCACAGGTATTTCTTATAAACATAATCAACCGTTCAAGGAACATGATGTATTTTTCTCTTACTCTCTGCTTAATGTTAAACTATTCCCTAAGCATTCCATTTGTTATACTCATATTTTACTCCCATTATGAAATGTTCTTAAGGTATTCAGCAACCTTTAACTCCATATTCATGCAAGACATTCAGCTTATCATAAGTGTTACACAAATCTACAAATGTACAGTAGCTTCATTTTCTCACATGTATACACTTTGTATTTTTTAAAGGAAAGGAAAGGAAAGGAAGGGAAGGGAAGGGAAGGGAAGGGAAGGGAAGGGAAGGGACGGGAAGGGAAGGGAAGGGGAGGGAAGGGAAGGGACGGGAAGGGAAGGGAAGGGGAGGGAAGGGAAGGGACGGGAAGGGAAGGGAAGGGGAGGGAAGGGAAGGGACGGGAAGGGAAGGGAAGGGGAGGGAAGGGAAGGGACGGGAAGGGAAGGGAAGGGGAGGGAAGGGAAGGGACGGGAAGGGAAGGGAAGGGGAGGGAAGGGAAGGGACGGGAAGGGAAGGGAAGGGAAGGGAAGGGAAGGGAAGGGAAGGGAAGGGAAGGGAAAATTCTAAAGAAGTGGGTTCCGATCTTCCTGACAGCACTTATAGATACATTTAAATTTTACCCTCTCTCTCTAAGGTTACATCATAATTTCCTTCTGTCCATAAGCTACCCTTTTTAATCTGCAGACCCATAATTCACAAGTTTATTCTTTTTTTTCAACAAAAAGTCCATAAGGGGTTTCCACTCACTAATAAATGACATTTATATACTTTTGAAATACATGATAAATTGCAAAAATTTATCTGGAAACTCCTGCCTAACATAAAGCCATACTGCACTTCCCAGATTTTTTTCATTTTTATTCATTTATTTAAGAGATGTCTAAAGCCACTGCTCTCACACTTTGTGACTCTGGGTAGTGTATATCCATAAAAATCAGAAAATAAAAATAAAAAATGAAATACTATGCAAAATCCAAATCAGAAACCAAAGTAACCTCTTGTGCCCTTTCAGTCAGAATTCTACCAAACACCTTCCCAGGGAGACTTAACAAACCAATCTAATTCCACTGTAGTTTTTGCATTCTCTCCTGCTACTTTCCCCTTTGTTATAGGATTAGGGTTAGGGTTAGATGTGTGTACTTTAATTCCCAGAATTCTCCAGCTAGCATGTTGGTTGGGGAATTCTGGCTGTTGAAGTCCACACATCATAAAGTTACCAGGTTTGAAAAACACTGTTATAGGAGGACAATAATGTCATTCTTCCAATCATAAGGAACAAACAGGTCACACAAACCCTAATATTTAAAGTATTAAAGCTTCAATTCTCCTCTTCAATATAACACTATTATCCCCATAGAAATCTCTGAAATATTTTTCTGGCATTCTCTCCCTTTTGTTTCAGCCCAAACCATTTCATCATTTGTATTTTTAATATCATTGCTGGAGGCAGAGTATATTTAATTCTCTCTATATAATAATAATATTATAATTTCAAGTACCCTTTTCTCTCTATACACATTATACAATATATTTTTCTCTTCCTCCTTTTTTTTTTGCATATATAAATTTCTATACACACTTTTTCTCATCCTTAGCGTCTTTAACATCATCATTCCACCAAGCATATTTTATTTATTCTTTCTCACAGCATAACTTCACATACTTCTATTGCATTTGTAAGTTATTCCAAGCAGCCTCCACATCCTTTCTCCTTACATCCACTTTCCATTTATTCTGTTGGGAGATTTCTCTTCTAATACAGGATTTTCTTTGCCTGCAATTATTCTATTTTCATCCTAGTTTCTTTTCTTTTCTTCCATGTGCATTTTGTCCCAGGATCCACTTTTGACAGTACTCAAAAATGGTCTCTCACATGTACAGGTTTCCCTTGTTTTATGCAAGATTCATTTTATGTAAATTCACTATTATGCAATTGATTATTTTTGTCCAAGAATTCACTTGATGCACACCCATTTATGCTCCATAGTTGTTTAGGCATAAGTGGGGGTGTGGGGGAAAGAGAAAGAGTGTAGGCTGTATTGCACAAGTAGATGCCCGTTTCTATAAAACATCTTTAAATTGATATGTGATGTGGAGGACAATTTAATTAAATTTTGATTGCTAGGTAGATACATAGATACAGATTTTTTTTTTTAATCTCCTTTCCCCCTTCTGAGAATGCACTGTTTCCTTGCTCAAATAACGGAGCATTAGATTATTTTCTAACTGTTTTAGAAACTTGAAACACTATCTGGATTCTTCCATTAGAGGTTTAAGTAGAACAGATTAGATTCCATGGAAAACAGCTTGTCAACACCATTGATACTCCCCTGGTTTTTCTAGCCACTCTAGGTTTCTGAGTTTTTGTAGGGGAATGGATGAGACCTAATGGATTTTATCACTGCTCCTCGTGAATATGCAGTTTTGCTTAGATTTCTCACTGTCATAGAACATTCCTATGACCGCTTTTGTGGGGTGTGCAGATTTTTTTTTTCTCGAACTGTGTAGTCACTAACAAAATATAGAATGGTAATCTGTTTCCTGGAGTAGAAACAATTTATATACTGTTTGCCTTTGGCAAGTTATGAAAGACCAGGTATGAGGATAAACAAAAATGTGTAACTTTATTGAAAATGAACTCAGAAGTATATATCTCAAAGTGAAGAATCTTTTAGAGTTTTGCAACAGTACTAGGCATCTGTAGATCATTTTCCTGCAAGTACGAATACCCTTGTCAAAGTAGATTTCAAGATTCTGGTGATTTTAGTTTATTTCAGATGACCCTGTGCTGTACCATTGAGTACCAGTTACCTCGGCTATAATTTTCAAAAAACATTGCAGGCTTAGCTGGGGAATAGAACCTCCCTGAAGGAAGACACTTTTTTTTCAAATATGAAAAATGGTTAACTTGTAATTCTTACAAGTTAAATAGGAATATAGAAATGTAAGTATTTCCAAAAAAAAACCCCTTATTTTCTTCTCTTTGTACTGAAGTATTTTGCAGTAGCTGAGGAACATTTTTCTACTTGATATGCAGGTTGTTGGGAATACTACTTTGTGGCTGAACCACTTGTTAAAAGTATCTTCCAGTGTTTAAATATGTTACTTATTGAGTCTGCTGCCAGTCATTTTACTTACTCTGGAAGAGGGCAGAGAAGAAAGTTTGTGGAATGGTATTTGTTTTCAGGAGATTAAAACCAGGTCATTTAGCTGTTATCCAGATATTTGGCAGCAGTGGGTCCACTGGCTCTTTGCCCTTCCTCATGCTTTTTATTCTAATATACTGAAACTTGAGAAGTAAAAAAGTAGAACATAGAAGTACACTTGGAATAAAGAATTTTCAAGTACATATCTTACAAACTATTGACTGTTCATTTAAATGCTTTGAGTTTCTGCTTTACTAGCAGAAATATCTGTGCTAAAAATCTCAGAACAAGAGGAAAAAGATCCAAAATCTATAGTGGTCCTAATACCTTCTGTAAGCCAACTGAATTTTTAGAAATCCATGAAGGTAGATTTCTCCTAACCCAGAGATTTGTACTTCTCATAACAGATAGGAACAGTTCTGACTTCAACATCTAGAATTTATTTCCCAAAAACATTTGCTTTGGGGGAGCTTGCAATACAACTGCCCTTTTACCTGATAATTCTACATTTATGTACCTTGAGGGTCTTCCAACCTTTAATGAGAATTTTGTTAAATAGAGTGTAATTCGATATAGCTGGGGCTTGGATTAGCCACATTTTTTATGCCAGGCACATTCATTCCTTAGTTTCTAGCCTCCTTGCTGTTGAGTTTTTGCAAATTCAAAGACTTGCAACTGTTTGGTAAAACTTCAGTTGCCCTAATAAAGGATTCTGATTTATTCCTCTGTTGTACAGGTAATGATAAAATAGAGTAGGATAGCAATATTGTTGTGGTTGTGCATTGCATTTTTGGAGAAGGTGGGCCCTGCTTTTTTGTTTTTACTTGTTTTTGAATTTTCTTGCTTGCTTCCTGCAATAAATCATGACTATATTTGGTTACTTATTGCTGAAATTTCAGCAGCATGATTCTGGGCAGACCTTTCTGGGCTGCAGAAAAGGTGTGCTTTGTTAGACTATGTGATATATGCCATGGAAGTGTTGGAGTCAAATCCAGGAAATAGGTTATTAATTATATGTATGATTTCCTGCCTCTGTTCTACAGTCCTTATCATCTTGCTTTCTGTTATCCTCTCATCAACTGTGTTGGCCAGCTTATAAAATAAATTGGTAGGAGAAAAGTGCTACATCTTGATGAAAACTTCAAACTGAATCTTTTAGTTAGTGATGTTTTAGAGACTATTTGGGTTATGTTTTGCCTTATAAGAATTACTAATAACATATTTTCTTCTTCTATACTTTTTTAGAAGATGCAGACTACAGTGCCTTTGGGACAGATACCATGACAAGGAAGAAAAATGTCTTATCAAATGTGCTGCGTCCAGATAACCATAGGAAAAAGCCACACATTGTTATTAGCTTGCCACAAGACTTCAGACCAGTGTCTTCTATTATAGATGTGGACATACTTCCAGAAACTCATCGGAGAGTGCGGCTTTATAAATACGGAACTGAGAAGCCTCTAGGATTTTATATACGTGATGGCTCTAGTGTCAGAGTTACACCGCATGGGCTAGAAAAAGTTCCTGGTATATTCATATCCAGGCTAGTTCCTGGAGGCCTGGCTCAAAGTACAGGCTTGCTGGCTGTTAATGATGAAGTCTTAGAAGTGAATGGTATAGAAGTTTCAGGAAAAAGCCTTGATCAAGTTACAGATATGATGATTGCAAACAGTCGTAATTTGATAATTACAGTGAGACCAGCAAACCAGAGGAACAATGTTGTCAGGAACAGCCGGACTTCTGGAAGCTCAGGACAGTCTACTGATAACAGCCTTCCAAGTTACACTCCACATATTGTGCCACGCTATCAACCTGAAGAAGAAGACAGCGATGAAGATGATATAATCATTGAAGATAACGGCGAGCCACAGCAAATTCCAAAGGCTGCTCCATCCAGTGAAAGCCTGGATTCACTGACACAAACTGAAACCCTTCATGAATCCATGCAAAATGGCTTCATTTCTTCCAAGGAAGTAAACTTGTACTGTTCAACAAGCAGCATTAACGTGGAATTTAAAATCCAGGATTCTGAACAAAAGACCTTAGAAGAAGATGGGACAATCATCACATTGTGAAAGTACTTCATTTAGTTTTTCAGATTAAGAGGCCAAAAACGATATTTGGCTACACCTATACATTACATACCTCTCAATTACTATATTTCAGTGGCTTTTTATATTAGCAGAAAGGAGTTGTGATTCACTTCATTTGTTCCATTTTGATATCTAGCTGAATAATATTTTTGAAACATGGGCTGGCTCTCTTACATTTTCAAGACAGAACATGATCCCATTACTCAAAATCCCATTGCTTATTTATGTACTTTTTTCATTTACAAGAACCAGTTTTTGGTTCTTTTCTTGGGTCTATCTGCATATTTTTATTTCATTATACACATCTTGAAGTCAAATCCAGCCCAGAGAATGCCTTATTTCAGCCTAAAATATTAATGAAACAAAGTCATTCAACATGAGAGATAACCATTTTAACCCATGTCCCAATATGTATTAATTAAAAGGTTATAAATGATTTATAATGGATCAGTTTCAGTTTTCATAAATCTTAATGCAACTATTCATACAACTATACTTTGAATTTACTAATGTAATGGTTAGTTGGGAGCTATAACTATTATTTTCTTTTAAAAATTATGAGTCTTTGACTGTATTGCGATTTATTCCTGGTGCTGGAGGAATAAATTTGCACTGGATAAGGTAACTTATTAAAAGCCAATTAAATTGTTTCTCTGGGTCTGTCATATATAGTTATGTACCCATTCAGTGAGAAATGGTGTGATCATAAATGTTGCAATGCAGTCCAGGCCCATTAAAAGTAGTGGGATTTTCTGTTGACTTCAGTGGTTGTTGCAGAATGTGATGTCAGGACCTGGCATCCTTGGGCAACTGCAAGAGCCTTGACCAACCCATTCCTTTTGTCCTGCTCCCTATCCGTTTTCCTAGTTCAGTATTCAGACTAAGGCTAGATGGTTGGATCTGTCTGTCCCTTTAATTCCCCACTGTGACCTAACTTAGCATAGTTTGGGTCATTCAGTGGAATTAAAAGAATGCTCACTTCTGCTTGAAGCTGTACCAGTACAACCGGGTGAACCACCAAGGTTCCTTAACAGAAAAGCAAGGCCATTAAAGAACATTTTGCCCAGGGGCCACCAAGCCCAGAAGTTGACCCTGTGGGGTTTTACTGTATCTATAATGTGAATGTCTTTTGTGTGTTTTTAATTCCAAATGCAAGTCCTAATGATAGATTTGGCAATCAGGTATGTTATATATAGAGGGTTTTTTTTTTTTTTTAAACTTTTTAATTTTTTTTTTTTTTTAAACTTTTTAATTTTTTTTTTTTTTTAAACTTTTTAATTTTTTTTTTTTTTTAAACTTTTTAATTTTTTTTTTTTTTTAAACTTTTTAATTTTTTTTTTTTTTTAAACTTTTTAATTTTTTTTTTTTTTTAAACTTTTTAATTTTTTTTTTTTTTTAAACGATTGAAGGATCTTCTACAATGGAAGAGATATTTAAAGAAGGCAAGTTGTATAATCATAAACATGGGAAATATCATTTGAACTTCTTTCCCTTTGGTAAAAGGCTTTTTTTTTATATAAAGCTCTTAGCAAAGGAATTTTTATATTTAACCTTTAGGCATATGTTTATACCTTTTTCTTTCATGTAATTGTGATTGAGGTACAATCCAGAATTGCAGGAAAAATGATTCCACAATAGAAATTGTTACCTGTGTGTATGTTCGGTACTACTGTGAATTACCTTGATGAATTATATTGTAGATGTTAAACTTTTAACTATCACAGAAGCATGGAACCCAAAACCTTAGTGGAAGAACTGGATGTTGAAACGTATCGGTTACTGTGCTATTTAACTCCTTCATTCTGATTTTTTGACATTTCTGTTGCAATTACGTTTCACCATTTTGCATCTATTATTATTGCAATTACAGACTTAAGGAAATGTTTATCATGCTGTGTTTAATTTCCATTCCTTAAGATTGTAGCCTCAATCAGGTAGCTTGTATTATGAGATGAATGTGTACGTTATAAATAAATATAAGTTGTATATAAATATATACACACACATATATGTGTGTGTATGTGTGTACCTGTAAAACAACCTTGTTTTGAAGCAGCATCATGTCTGAAACTCTTTGAGTTTGGCAAAATCTTTGAACAGTATGGAGGGAGAGAGGATAATGCTTACTGCTACTAAAATGACAGGCTGCATTGCATATGACTGCAACGTAATGCAGTTGCCTTGATGACAGAATTGTAGAGTTTTATGACTACCGTGTTCTTACTAAATCTTCAAAAATTAAGCTGCTTAAACATAATATAGTATGTATTAGCTTGAGACGTGTAACTATAGAGAGAGATCTCAGTCACAGTACTAAGATAACTGACATAGATTTCTACATACTACCTCTAAGACTTTACCACTTAGCATCTTGTGGGGGAGAAGGAGAAAGGGCAGTCTCCGACTAGAGCAGTGTTTCTCAACCCCAGCAACTTTAAGATGCATGGACTTAAAACTGGCAGGGGAATTCTGGGAGTTGAAATCCACACATCCTAAATTTGCGAAACTCTGGACTAGAGAGATACCTAGGGATTCAAAAGTGAACACCAAAAAAAAAGGTTAAGCTATTTAGACTGGTCTGCAAGGCACCCTGGTTTTCTCCCATATTCTTTATATATGCATCACACTCAGCTTTTTATTGAAGCTTCTCTATTATATGTATGAGTGAAACATTGTATTGTTTCATCAGAGAATCAAAATTCTTTAGATGCTTTTGATCCTTTAAAACAGAGGCATATTTTAAACCTCTTCCCCTGTAGCTTGGAATCAGATTAGCCTCTTAAGTGCACCTTATCTGAACAAAAGCAAAACATGGCTACAATGATACACTTTTTTGGAGCTGTTTTTTAGTTCCAGATGAAGTCAAGCTGAACTGTGAAATCTTTGTTCTTCCATAAATGTTGTTTAGGATTCTGTCATGTACTGTTCCGACTTACATATTTTCTAATTAAAAACTTTATGCACATAATTTTTACATGAACATGTATAGAATCTCAAATGTCAGTATTTTTCTTACCACTTTAATGTATGATGTACCTCTGTACGACTAAATGAACTTTGATTTTACAAAAATCAATTGGCACTAATCATATGCTAGTCATATTTTTTAGAAACTTGGTAATAAAAATTATGACTATTGCTAATCTGAAGCTTGAAAGAATGGTTTATTATGTAGGCTGTAGATTTTCAAAACATCACTTGCTGATCCTCCAAGATATATTTATCTGACAGCCATCCTTGAAGCTAAAAAAAAAAAAAAGGTTTGTATAGCTGACACAGAACATGCTCACACGCAGTTAGAAAAAGTAAGCAGAATCTTGCTTTTTAAAAGGGGAGATCTCTAGGAGCAAGCCCAAAAGTTTCACAAGTCTATCACTTCTGAGCATCCTGAATCAAAAGCCCAACATCATTTCAGCTAAAGAAAAAGTTATTGAAAATTAATCTAGCTCTTACTATGTACCCCCAATTTTTCTTCCAAGAAAGAATTTAAAATTAGTACATCAGGCACTTTCTCCTCTTAGAACCATAGGATGCTGTTGTAGGAAATTGTATACATGCAATTAGTAGTAATTTTAATGTTCTTTTTACAGTAGTTGATTTCTTTAGAATCTAAAAAAAGTATCTGTTAGAAAAAGCCTTCCAGTTGCTATAGTAAGTGGTCAGAAATTGAATAAAAAGGTATTTTACTATTCACTACATGATCTTTAATATTTTTTTAAAATATTCATATGCAGTTTTTAAGCCATCAACTTCCCTTTTTAAACTGAACTGAATATTCCAATTTGCGTGGAAATGCTAAATATCAAGTTACAAATGGCATTCCTAAGTTGATAAAATATCCAGTTGCTTTTTAACATACAGGCTTGTTCTACATTATTTCCAGGTTTAGAATTTGAATTCCCCCCTCCATAAGATTAAACTTCCTGAACACTTACTTTCCTTTGAAATTCCTTTTCAGCTGTTGTGCCATATTGAGTAGGTCCACTGCAGCACTTCACTTTCATTCTCCAGCACAATCCCAGGAAAAATTGTAGCTGCTTTAAAGTGCTGCACATCCTACATTAGTGCTTCTGCATGTTGCAAAGCATCATTTGGAGACTCAATGTTCCGAAGCACCATACAGCTCTATTATTTATTTTATTATTTATTTAATAGACTTGTCCCCGCCCATCTCCCCACAATGGGGGACTCTGGGCGGCTTACAACAAACTAAAATCAGAAATACAATTA